AGAACAATTGTAAAATTTACGTTTATAGTGGATCTTTAACCCTTTCTAGTACAAGAACTTGCTTTTCATGAGCTTGGTGCTATTGTAGCCTTTCTAAATTATTAATCATATACATTATATAATAATAATTTCGCTTTATTAATTGATTTATTATCCTCCATACTCCAACATCAACTTTTTACGTGTTTTGTCCATCTTTCCTGGTAATTAATTGATTGATGATGATAGTTCGTCAGTAAAATACAATTAATTATTTTACAATAATAATAAGTTTTAACAACAACATTTGAATAAATACTTAAGACAATTTTTTAAAAAATCAAGCGGTGGATTTCTTTCTCAAAAATTGAATCATTATTATTAATATTAGCAATATTTATTTGTAACTATTATTATAGTAATAGTGATAAATAATTGGTCCCATAATTCCGTAATAAAAATCCTGGAAGAAATGTTTACAATATATATTAATTGTAAAATCATATTGGTAGCGATAGGTTTTAATTAAAAATTAATAAATAATAGCTTAGATTTAATTCTTGTTACATGATTTTATTGTAGTTCAGTAGTAGAAGAGTCGGTTACGTCAAATTCCATATTTGAAAAACTTCATAAAAAAACTTAATATTTACAACAAATTTTTCTGCAACTTGTCATTTAAATGACTGAACAAGAATTAAATAATTGCCCTTCACCTGATTACTATGGTCCATCAGAAGATAACACAGTAGCAATAATACTGAAATTGATTGTGAAATAGTTGGATCTAACGAAAATAATTGTACCCAGGCTGAACTGAAAAACGTACACGTAAAGACCAAAAAGTACAGTATGTGATCATTACTATTGCTACTATTACAGACATCGCAGTAACTGAAATTATATTAACATTAACATTAATATTAATATTAAGTGATCTTTTCCTGAAAATTTGGTTGTTAATTTTGCGTACAGTGTTTTACTATTTATTACAACTTGAAAAAATAGATTAATGATTTCAATGATTAAAGGATTGTTACGCAGCCATAAAAAAATTATCGTTGTTGTTATTTTGATTTTGATGATTTGAAAGAATTGTTAACAACCACATATGGGCCAATTTGTTCGATCGGCAAAAGAAAAAAGTATTAATGACACGTGGGCGTTACATTTTGATG